AGCACACTAGCAGCAAGCCGGAAGAGGAGCCAAGGTCGTTAAAGTTGTTCACAGAGTGAAGTGCGAAAACTGAGAATAGAGGTCGATTCTCTGTCGGTGGTTGAATACTTGGGTTCATGTACATTAATTGCTGTCCATCACAGACAGGCTGACAACTCTGATGGCGCTTATCATAGCATTTCCAAAGGAAAATCTTTCAGGAAGGCAGGTAATATACAAGAACCATTATTGACTAGGTTTCTGAACAAACGAGTCTCCGGTTTGACTCAGAAATACTGGATGTCCAATTATACTGATTTGCCATCGTGATAAGCGGAAGATGTCGCGCCATCACAAATCTGATGGATACATGCTAAATCTAAATTTTTGATTTCTGATGGTTTAAAACCTAACGTTCATCTGCCACAGTTTAAATCCCTGTGTTCAGCACGCATAAGACGAGCTTTTGCCTGCCGTGAAGATTTTGACCTGAAGATGCTACGGCTTGGATGGCACAACTTATCTTCAAACAACCCTGCATTATTTGATATTCTTTTGAGTATGAAAATATTAAGCAGCATATAAGAGCATCAGTTCTTGAAGCATGACATTCGTAATGACAGTGAGGCTGCCATAGCGAACAAAATGCTTCGACATACATATAGCACTGGAGATATTTCAATTCCTTTGAACTGTAGCCTGTGTAAAAGGCCGCCGGCAACTAGGAGCAAGGACTGTGCAACACAACGCGCCGCCAAATATGATTTCGGAGAAGTTATACGTTATTACATGAAACACGTTGGTAGCAAATTGATTGGCGATCAATTTTGTTTGGCATCATCAATTGTAGATCAAAAAATTAGCGGCAAGAGGAGAAAGGAAAGTGTTACGGTTGAGGTGAAACTTCCTTCATAATTCATGAATGAATGGAATTATGTCACACTGCTTATTCACCGGTATTACGGAAAGATCATTTTTGGCACCGTCATCCTTATCACGATATGATTAACAGCTCTGCTAGATCAGTTACGCTTAGGAGATGATTCGTTAGAATATTTTGAGCTTTAAAAGCTACAGAAAATGACATGCGCCCTGTCAACAGCAGGTCTGTTTCTGTTACCGGTCTCAGTTTTGGTATGATCATGCAGGGCAGACCACTGAGAAGGTAAGAAGCTCTACAGCCCGTTTTACACGCAACAAATGGTCGCCCCTTTCATGCACGGTGTTGAAAAAAGGGGGACATGGGCGAGGTTCGAAGTCATGCAATTTTGGTTGACAAATCAACTCTGGACTGACTTTCATTGCCTTGAAATTTTACATTTCCCGTGAGGGACGTATCGAGTCGGTGACGGAATGATTGGCTGTTTGTGCTTTTGTCTGCGAAGCTTGCATTCATCCAGGTCTTGGATCGACTAAAGTTCGTCTGTCACTCACAAGACTCTGGTCACCTAGTTGTACAACGTATCTCAGGAACACTGACCTCATCAGCGTAAATGCATGCTGATGTAATGCACATGTAATTGTTAGCAACGCACCAAAACGG